CTGGCCTCCTAAACCGCGAGAGAATAAATTTCTCTCGTTTTACGCCACCCGGTTTGCGGTCATGAGTTCTGGCAACCCTAATACAGTGGCTGGAACTGCTCCTGCTCTTGTTTTACTAACTCAGACTTGCAGCGCCTCAGATTCTCCATCCTCAAGGCCAGCGGCACAGGACCCTGCCCTCACTTGCCCAAGGTCGTCCACCAGTGGCTGAACTGGTCCCGGAGCACTCAAACCAAGGCTCCTCGCTCATACCCAGGGATCTCTGCAGCCTCAGGGACCCCAGCTCTGGCTCCTCCCTTGGGCCTGGCCATCTTGCCCTCCCACTCCAGCCAGCTTTGGCACTTGGCCATGCCTCTGGACTTAGATCCTGCCGAGGTCTTCCTGGATAGTATATAACGCTCCCTATGTTGCAGGTTCCTCTCAGCACAGAGCCCGGTGTGCAGTAGGCTCTCAGTTGTTGTAGATACCATCATATAGCAGCCCTATGAAGTGGGCAGCCTGGTAGCATACTCCCATTTTACAGATCAGAACACCAAGGCCTGAAGGGGCAAAGTGACTTACTCAAGGGCACTCAGCTATCAAGTGGCAGAGGTAGACCTCGAACTCACATCTCTGAGTCTCCATCCATGCTTTTTCTGCAGCTTCCATACTCTGAGCCATAAACCTGTGCCACACCCCGAGTTTAGCAATTTGTGTCAATTCCTCCCCCTATCTGCCCCTTGAAATAGCCTGAAAAGTAGGTATTATTATTACCCTACTTCACAGATGGGGAAATAGGCTCCACCCTACTGCCCTGAATGTCAGAGCCTCACCATTTTCCCTATCTACTACCAGCTGTTAATGAGGGGCAAAACCAGACTGAGATTGTCTCTGTCCAGGGGGGCTTTCTCCCCAAATATTTCCTTGTTTGAGTCTCCCACTGGGAGGGAGAGATGAGTCAGTGCCATCTGGCCTCGGAGAGGGGCAGGGTAGGCAGGTTCCAGGCAGGAGCTGCCGCCTGCCCCAACACTGCTCTGTGTGTTCCAGGGGGCTGGGAGAGGGAGTCTGCCCACCGCCCTGCAGGGTGTGTTCACTGTGCCGCCCAGCACCTGCATCCCAGACAGCTTCGCCTGGTCCCCAGCTTTGACCCTATACCTACTATGTGCTAGCTGCTTCACACGCATTATCTTAAATCTCCCCAACAGCCCTGTTTGGGATCCCCATTCTAGAGAGGAAAAGACTGAGGTTTAGAGAGGAGAAGTGGTTTCCCCAAGACCATGTGGCTGGGGAGAGGCATAATCAGGATTCAATGCTAAGGCCCAGTGGACTCTTCAGGGCACCCCTCCCAGCTGCCCTGTTGAGAAGATATCTTCATTCTGGATTTGAAGGTTGGCCAACCCTAGAAGGGCCTGATTCAGCTGCACTGGGTGCAGCCTGGGCTGAGGTGGGAGATGGAGCACTGGCAGGAGACCTGACTCTCGGTCTCACTCTGCCACCTACCTGCCAGGCGACCTGTTTCCCCAGACGTGGCAGGAGCAGGGGGAGCAGGTCATCCCCAGCTCTGAAAGCTTATGAGCTCTTGAAAGCCCACTCCCAACCACCTTGGCTCCCAGGCTACAGAGCTAAAGGGATGGACACCCGGGGGCCCTGTGACAAGGCAAGCCTTGGGACCTTTGAGTTGTCAGTTAGGGCCAGACACCTGCCCCCACCAGGCGATTATTTTGGTGCATTAGTGCTTGAGACCTACCACTCTACACAGTTCCTTTCCTTTTCCCCCTCCTGATCTTGGAGCTTGCCAATCATAGCAGCGAGGTGCTCACCTGTTCCAGCTCCAGCCCTGAAGCCAATCACGCCTTCGTGTACGGCCCTCTCCAGTGCCCCAGGCTCAATGATAGCTGTAGGGTCAGGCAGGGCAGGAACAGGCATGGCCACAGATGAGGAACCAGGCAGAGAGATGAAGTGACTTGCCTAAGGTCACACAGCTGCTCAGGAGGTGAGATTGGGCCTGGCACCATCATCCTTTTGATTTGGAATCAAGTACTTGGGGAAAACCAGGGGCCCAGACAGCCCCCCTGCTGCTTCTTGTCTGGAACTTGAGAGAGCTTGGCAGGAATCCCAGCTCTTGAGAGAGCACAGTGACCTTGGACAAGTCCCTTCCCCTGGCTGGGCCTCAGTTTTCCTCTTGTAAATGGGCCCAGGACAGGCGATCTCAGAGTGCACACTTCTGTTTGGCTTTCTTGGTGTCCTCGATCCCACGGAGTAAAGGGGAGGCAGAGCCATTGGCTGCCTAGGACAGGGCCACACCTGCCTGGAAAGGGCTCTGCCTTCACCCACAGGAGATCCTCTGGGCTCTTTCTAGGAGCCTTGCCCCCAAATCCTAAATTCTTGGCCTGTCAACTCCCAAGACATTGGCACACCAGATTGGAGCTAGCCTCTCTCAGGAGTGTAGGGGAGGGTCTAAGAGAGCAGGATAGGGCCCAGCTGCTTGGCTTCCACCCCACCTCTGCCACGTTCCAGCTGTGTGACCTTGGGTAAGTGACTTCACCTCTCTGGCCACAGCTGCCTCAGTTGTCATATGGGGATGACAGGGCAATGGGAGACCTTCTTGGGGCAACGCGTGCAAAACAATTAGCTCAATGAATGCTAGTGGGGTTATTATTAGTTGCCCAGGTCCTCCTACCGATCCTTGCAGCTGGCGGGGGCAAAGGGAGAGGACGGTGGGAGAGCAGGGGCCCAGCACTTCAGGCTCTGCACACAGTGTAAGCCACAGGCAGCTGCTCTGGCCTTCTGTCTGGAGAGGACTCTGGGGGCTGCCAGAGGCTTCCTGAGCCCTGGCTCTCCAGTATCCCACACCAACAGGCTACCTTCCTGGTGCCCGAAAAGGGGGGAGTCAGGGCCAGTCCAGGCTCCTGGCAGCCTGGGCCATGAGCAGCAGCTGCGACTGCCCCTCCTCTGTCTCCTTTCCAACTCTGGCCAGGCTTCTCTGCAGAACATCGATAACCCAAAAGGGCCTAGCTGAGCTCAATCACAGCTCCCTGGGAATGTGGGCTGGCCTGCCCTCGGGCCTGTGCGGGGCTGGGTGGCCACCGGAGCCAGGGTCCCTCTGGTTCCTGGACAGTCGCCTAAGGGGCGAGCCTCTCCCAGCTTCCTCAGAGCCCCCTTCACCCACATATAGGATGCCTGGAGGCTGAGGGGGCAGGTGCGTGCATGCAGCACCCGCATAGGTGCTGCATCTGGTGTGCACCATTGTCTCTTACCTGTGCAGCCTACATTCACCTGTGGGCACAGTCCAGCATGCTGCGCGCCTGCCGACGTACTGACACACATGCAGGCGGCATGCAGAGCACCACATGTGTGCGCTGGCCACTTCCCTAAGGGGCCAGACTCCCACGAGCACACAGCACATCTGGGGCTGCTGCAAGGTGCAGCCTGAGTGCAGCTGGCTGCATCCTTGTGCGGGTGCTGCTAACACGTGGGACATGCTGCGTGCACAGGTGTGTGTATGTGTGCTCTGTTCCCATGCATGCTGGATCTGCACGTGAGCATATGGTATTCAGGGATGTGAGCTGTGGTCACATGTGCTGGATGTCTCTGTGGGCACGGGGCACTCTGTGTAGGTATGTGCTGTGAACCTAGATAGTGCATTACTGATGTGCCCTATATTTGCACCTGTTCAAATCTGTGGACATGGGTATGTCTTGATGAGAATGGGAGTGGGAGTACAAAGGGGGCTGAATAAATGTGGGCCATAGGCATCTTTCCCGGAGCCCCTCAGGGCTCCCTCAGAGCTGCAGCCCCCTCCCCGCCACAGTTCCTTGAATGAAGTTAAGTGGCGGAGGCCCCGTGGCCTGCGCTCCAAGCCCCCTCCCACTGCACACGTCAAAGGAGAATTTCTCTGGATGGCGCCTGCTGCTCCTGGAAATGCCCCAAACGTCAGATCACCTCCTCCCAGCGAATTGAGAGCAATGCAGACGAGGAGGGGAGCCCCTTCCACGCGGCGTGCAAGGCGTGCAGCGTCACATAAGACCCTCTGCTGGCCCGGCGCACAGCTCACTTACCCTTCTGAAGGTCGAGTGAGCTGGGTGTCTGCGTGGGCCCCGTACCCCCAGGGCCCTTGCCTGACTAGGGCAGGCCAGCCTCAGAGATCCCTCCCCACAGCCCGGGTGAGCAGAGGACAGCGTGATGTTGGGTGGCTCCTTGGCTAGAAAGAGGTGGCTGCCCAAAGCAGCCCACCCTCAGGGAGTCCAGAGGCCCCCTGCTGGATTCCTCAGTCCTGACCCTGCAGGGGGCAGGGAGGAGCTCCAGGTGCCCGAGCACTTCCCCTGAGGCCCTGGCCAAGGAACTGGGCTTCCAGGCCAAAAGTGCCAGCTCCACCACTCAGCATGACTGCTGCAAAACGGCCTGGCCACCCCACTTCTGTCCCCCTCCTGGGCATCGTGGGGGCCCGGGATGTGTCCCTGCCACCACACACTCTGGCCAGCCTGACCCAGTGGGTCCCCGCAAGAAGCAGCCCACCCCAAGAGGACCCTCCGTGGGGGCCTCACCTTGCCTCTTTCCGGGGACCATGGCCCGAGGCAGGCAGAGGCACCCTCAGATCCTTTGCGTCTCTTTGGGACGTGGCTCAAAGGGAAGAGAACCTTGTCCCCGCCACCGGCTTGCTGGCCCTTGCGTAACATCCTTTGGGGGCATTTGCTGTCCAGAGGCTGCGGGTATCTACCGAGACCCCGGGCATCCGCCTGTCTGAGGCCCCTCTGCCCATGTCGCCAGCATCCCAGACCCCCCTTCCCAGACCCTCACACGAGTGTCTCCCTCAGCGACGGCTCCCAGTGCAGCCTCAGCTGCCGCTAGATAAACAAGCCCCGCTGCCACCCCTCCTCAAGCCGCCACCGCCACCACCATCAGCACGGAAAAAAAAAAAAAATGAAATGCAACCAAATAAAATGGGTGCAAGAGGAAGGGGAGAGCGGAATGGGGCGCTTTTTATTGTTTATTTTCTCATGCTGGGGGATGCCGGTACTTACTTGGCTACGAAAATCACCCCAATCCGGCCCGGCTTCCAGGCGGGCAGCCCGTAATCGCGGTGCGGCAGCTGGTGCCGCGGCTGAGCCCAGCCAGCGTGCCCGGTCCCTCTGCAGACTGTACCATCCTGCCCGAGCAGCTGGGGGGCGGACGCGGCGGGGGGGTGGGGGCGGAGGCGCCGGCGCCGGCTTCTAGGAGAGCATCTCGCTGGCAAAATGCAGTCTCGGGGGAGGCAGAGGCCACCCCTGCCGCTGCCAGAGGCTGGGGGGAGGGGGCCCGGAGGACGCAGGGAGGGACGCAGGGAGGGCTTGTTCTGTTGGGGGCTCTGGGGGAAGGGAGTGGGGGGCGGGTGTGTGTGTGGACCGAACCACCACAGTGTTGTTTGTGGTTTTAATTCCTCCCGTGGGATCATAAGGAACCGAAGCTGGCAGAGTCCCAGGAATCTGCCCGCTCCCCAGAAGTAGGAGGGAGTGTCAAGGGCATGGGGAGGGGAGGGTTGAGGCTAAGCTGAGGGAGGGTCCTGAGAGGAGAACTTTGGTAGCGGGGAGTGGGAGTGGAGAGGGGATGGTTTTACTCAAATGGTCCCAAGTCATTCTTGACTTTCTGGGGCACTCATTTTGCTGGGCAAGGGCTCTGACTCCCCTTTTTGGTCAGAACATCCCAGATCTGGAGGGGCAAAGGTCACATGGGGAGAAGATAACACACACTGAACACCTCTTCAGTTGCAGAGCCCAGCCCTGCTTGAGAGCCCACCTAAATGCTGCCCGCTGCCCCTGCAACCTGGCGTCCCAGCCTATGTGCACCCCCACCTGCCTGGGGAGCTGCAAGCCAGGCAGAAGACCCCCTATAGGGACCATTCCTGGGCCGGCAGACAGGTGCCCACCAGCAGGGGTGTCTGCACATGTCCTGTGCATACACATAATATGCAGAGATATCTGTGATGAGTTGGGGGGCTCACCGTGTTGGGGGCTGACCATAACCAGGGGACCCCCAGGGACCCCCAACCAAGAGTCTGCCCATACGGCCAGCTCCTCAGCCAGCTCCCTACTTCTTCTTGCCTCATCTCTGGTAAACCTGCTGCCCCTTTAAATCCAGACTAGTGGGAGGTCAGCCCGAGAAGCAAGGTGAGGAGGGTGAGGAGGTCATCATGGGGGTGAGTGTAGGGGTGGGCAGGCAGAGGGGGCTTCGCTGGGATTCTGAAGCCTCTTCTCCACAGCCCTGCTCCCTCCAGAAGGGGCGCCCTGCTTGAGGGGAGGGTATGGAAGGTAGAAGGACGTTCAAGACCAGAGTCACAGGGGCACCTGTCAGCGGAGGGTAGGTGCATGTGAGGGGGTCAGGGCTGGGGGTTGCCCCAGGGAGGCAGCTCTACACCTCAGCTGCCTCCCTCCCCATCCCCACCCCCTGCCCACCTCTGAACTGCCCGCCTGCCTGAGCGTCCTGAGCTGCCGCTCCATCCCTGGGCTGGCACAGAATATCAATTTGTCTCGTTAAGCTGAAAGTCTGCACTGCACCAAAATCAGAACCCAGCCTCACAGACAGGCTGTGGGAGGGACAGAGTGTGGAGCGCCTGCAGCTGGCCCCCAACAGGACCATGCCAATACCCCTTGCTCTTTATCCCCTAGCCCCATGAAAGGGGCTGCTTCTGCCCACCCCCCCAGCCCCCCACCCAACATTCCGGCCAGGCAGAGTGGCCTCAACCCACAGAGGATGCTTAGAAGCTAAAGATGCCAAGAGCTGGGTGGACATTCAAGGCCCTGGGTCCTATCCCGGCAGAGGTGAGACTTGGGGGCAGGCAGGGAAGCATCCTGCTAGGGCTCAGATGGAGCAGCCCAGGACACCCCTCAGAGAGGCTCTCATCCTCATGACTACAGCCTGGGACAGGGACTTCTCACAGCGGCACCTTCCTGGGGGTGCAGGTGGGGGCACTCTGCTGGCCACCCCTCCAGGAAGCCTTTGAGGTCAGCCCTGGCCCAGTCAGCTCTCACCCAGTGGCCAGGGCCTGGCCAGGAGTTCCCCTCTCCCCAGGACCTAGAGGGAGCCCCACTACCCCAAAAGGGGCCAAGTACAGTGGGGTGTTTAGGCTAGAGATGGCTGGGGTGAGGGTGGACAAAGAAGGGAAGAGGATGAAAGGCCCATTGCAGCTCACATCTGGTCCCAGCTAACATGCCTGTGCCAGAAATCCCACCATTATTGCTGCACCATCCATTGGGGGCTAACCACTTTTCCTGATTACAAAACAAACAGCTCCAAAAGGGGCCAGTTATGAGCCACCATTTCAGCATTAATAATCCCTTAGTATCCAGCACACTTTATAGTTTGCAAAGGCCACCTACAAAACAGTAAATCGCTTGATCCTCACTACTACCCCTGGGTGGTTGCTGTGAGCACCCAAGTTACGGATGAGGAAGCTGCTTGTGGCTCAGAGGGATATGGTGGCCAGGACAAGGTCACAAAGCCAATAAGTGGTAAACCAAACCTGTGACTGAGGTCTGATGTCTACAAGTCCAGGGCTCCTGACATGCTAAGGCTAGCCCCCTGCCCGCACTCCCCTCCCCCCCAGCACAATGCCTGTCTACTGAAGTTCTGAGTCCTGCCTGCCCGCTGGCCCCTCTCAGATCTGCCCTGTTTGGGCCAGGCTGGGTCTTCACCAACAGATACGCACAGCCAAACTCTCAGGAGCTCATGGATTTTGGTTCCTAGAGTCTAAGACTAGAAATCGTACCTGGTTAAGCTCCCATCTCCTTGGCATTCCAGGCTGTGTGTCCTTCACCCTCTGCATCTACACCCCAGTGGTCAAATGCTCTCTATCTCTGAGACTGCCCAAATGTTGAACAGCATTGTTTGAAAGTTCTTCCTTATGCATATATCCCACTTCTAGGCCCATGAACTCCTATTCATCCTTCAAAGTCCAACTCAAATGGTCCTCCCCTGGACAGCTCTTCCTGACTCCACCAATACTTAAGTTAGTTCATGCCTCTGTCATAGCTATGACCACACCATATTGTGATGGTTTACATGTCTATCTCCTCACTGGGCTATGATCACATCAGATGAGTCATTAGGGTCCCACCACCCAGCACGTGGTAGGTGCTTTAGTAAAGGCTTGAATGAATCTTCTGCTGTGTAATTTTGATTCATCAAATGCCAGAACTAGAAGAACCCGTGAGGACTCCCATCCAACTCTCCCAGTTTACAATTAAGCAAGCTGAAGCTCAAGAGAAAGATGTAAGGTCATCCTTGAAGGCACATTCTGGCCATGGACATCTGTCCCCTGCCCTGCCCTGTGCCTACACTTCCTGCAGCAGATACACCTGAGTAATCTGGCCTGTGCTTCTAGGATGTGCTGGGGGCAGGGGGAGCTGGACGGGCAGAAGTCTTGTGAAATCAGACAAACAATGGCGCTGGTGTTGCAACTCCAGGAAGGCTGAAAATGACAGGTCAGGGTCACCCATTGGGAAGAGGGGGAGAGAGGCAAGAGGTGGGCCAGGAGGATTACCAATAGCTTTTGCCTCCAGCATGATTTGGCTTATGGTGGACACGAATTGAGGAAGGTACAAGAAATAGGGCAGGGCCAGCCCAGTCTGATTTAGTGTTTAGTTGGCCAGATCACATTTTCCCCCTTAGGGACAGGTCCCAGGCCTGGGGAGCTTGGTCTAGTTGGATGGAAGCAATCTGCATAAGAGAGACAGAGGGGAGGCCCAGACAGGTCAGAGGGAGGCAGAAGTGGATGCACCAGAGGCCAGCTGGGTTCTCACTGGAAGACATGGGCCCGTTTGTTGCTGTCCTTTCTTGGAGGGAAACAGGAATGAGGGCTACACCTGCCCTTGCCTTGCCTGGCCCAGGGTCTTCTGAGGCTTGGGCTGGGGTCCTGAGGCAGATCTTGGATCAGCTGCTGCTACAAAGGGTTGCTAGACTGGGCCCCTCAGGGGATGAGCAGCTATTTCCAAAGGCACCTCATATCCCTGCCTTATCTGACCTCCACATATCACCCTTGGAGATGGCTGGGCTTCTTCCCATTTTACAGAAGAGAAAACTGAGGCCCAGAGACCTTAAGTAACTTGCTTAGGTGGTACAGAGCCAGTGAGGGCCAGAGTTGAGGTTCAAATGCAGATCTGTCCCAGTGGAGCCCTAGGCCCTTTCCTCTGTCCTGGCCTGAAGTTACCCATGTGTGAGGCACATAACTCAGGCCCTCCTAGTCTGTGCTCAAGTCCAGGGGACCACATGGCCAGGTTTGTCCCAGATCTCCCTTCCAGCCACCTCAGGGCCCCGCATTCCCTCCTGGTGAGGTCTGAAACTCCCTCAGCCAACCAGATCTCATACTGAGGCTTTGTGGCCAGACAGACATGGGTTCAAATCCTGGCTCCTCCATTTACCTGCTGTGAGACCTCAGGCATTAACTCAGCCTCCCCAAGTCTCAGTCTTCTCATCTGCAAAATCGGGACAAGCTAAAGGAGAATGGCAACTTTTGTTAATAGAAGGAGTACAGCAGTGCGAGTCTCCAGAAGACCCCTGTGAAAATGTTGAGGTGGAGTTCTCAGGCCACCTGTGGGGCCAGGCACGGCTGGTTCTAGGACCTTATAGGCCCAGGCAGCCCTCCTGAGACTCAAACCCAGGCCTTCCAATCCCTGCTTCTTCCACTGGTCCTTGCTCCCTCAGTAAGGAAGGTGCAGGCCTGACGTGTGGCTCACTCCAGCCATCATCCATGTCAACATGCTACTATGTGGCAGGCATTCTGCCAGGGGCTTATGTGGCTCATGTCATGTGATCTTTACAAATCCCTGTGAGATAGGTCCTATTTTTACCCCCATTTTACAGAATAGGAAACTGAGATACAAGGAGGTGACATGATGTTGCCCAAGGTCACAGTGAGTAGGGGATCTGGGACTTGAAACCAAGGCTGCATGAGACTGTCAGAGCCCAGGGACCCTATGGGAGGTGGGTGTGAGCCTGGGTGCAAGAAGCCACTGGCACCTGGGTTTCCCACAGCTGTGTGGGCGTGTCTTCCTAGCCATGCAAGTCAGAAAACCTCAGCCCCAAGGGCCTACCCCAGCCTCCCACCAGGGAAGTGCAGATGTGTGGGATGGTTGACCTTGCAGCCCCCCCGTGAGGCCCAGAGGCCAGAAACGGTGGATGGAGCTCACAGCTATGCAAAGGGCACTGTAGAGGCCAATTAGAGAGCCTGTGCTTTCCTCTAGAGAGAACACAGAG